AAAGAAAAAAATTTAAATTCAATAATTAATTTTTTTACACCTTTTACAGTGGATCGGGGACCACAATGTCTGAAATACAAGGGACATTAGGGTTTGGACAGCATAAACATTGCCTTAAAAAAGACCCCAAATCATCAAACAACATACTTTAAACAATTTTGTCTACCATACTTTATCAGTAACATATAACATACAGAGATCACTCTGACCCTTTTTACATTCCACAATATCAGTACAAAACCTAACCGACAACATGGCACAATAAACCAACTACTATATACGCTATTATCCAACAAGCAAACAATGACATTTTAATATCGTTTCTCTTACCGGGAGCTGCCTTTCTCTTCTTGTTCTTCAATGGCGACCTCATTTCTCCATCACCCCTCTTCAATGTCGATCTTGACTTTCCTATTTCACAATGCCAGTCACCTCTAAGTCACAACACAAGAATGTCAAGGCTATATGTGAGAGCCCGTAATTTTTCCCATTTTCTAGGTTTTATTATCTGTCATGGCTTGTTTTCTGTATTTTCGTGATAAGGAAAAATTCTAGATCTTTTTAAGGAGCAGATATAGTTTTTAGATGATTTTTCTAGTATCGAATAGGTTTTGAGAAATTAAGAGTGTATACCGGACGTGGGACTCACTAGTGCGAAAAGTTTGAAAAAATTCGGCCAACTAGGTTAAGTTTTGGATACTGAAATTAATTTACCGGGTGTTAAGAGATAAGTAGAGGTTGCAATTTGGATTGGTGTGAGAGGAAACAAAGTGATAGACTTGCATTAATGGAGGTGACAAGTGTCACCATTGGATTGGTCCTTAAGTAAGACTACTATTCCTTTTCTTACCATTGACCAAATAAATAAAAAAAAATAACCAAAAATTCACCATTTTCTCTTCATCTTGGCCGAGCTCCTTGAGCAACAAAAGAAAGAAAACTCTTCAAGATTTTGGCTTCAATCAACTTACTCAACCATCCAACCTTGATTTTGCTCCATAAAACCACTTAAGGGAGTGATAGTGAAGTGTTGTGTGGAGTTATTTGGAAAGCTAAGAGGACTTGTTGCTCTCTCTCTCTTGTTTCTAAGGTGAGTTGTGAAGAATCACTCTCCTCCCTTTATTGATGCTTAAATCATGCTTAGTGGTAGTATGAGATGCAATATTATGGATTATTTCTTGATTTGTGGTTGAATTGATGAAGTTTTATAATTTTTAGAGATTTTTCTGTTTTAATATGAACATGATTGTGTGGCTATATATGATGATTGGAAATGATGTTTAAGGACTCTATGAGGTGGAAAAAGTGGTTAATTGCAAACAATTTCTGTTTTGGAAGAAATCTTGGAAAGTTAGGGTTTATGATGATAACATTCTGCCCGGTTTTGTAGCTCCTAGTTAGAGGCCGAATTGGCCTTGACTTAAAACATGAAAGTTGTAGGGAATGTTATTTTAGAGGTTTTTGAAAAATTTCAGGTCAATCGGAGTAGTGTAACTTGAGAAAAGTCGAAATTACCCTTGCTGTTCTGGTTTTACCCGAATTAGAGAATTGCTTCTGTAATTGGTTATTTTGGTTAGGAATGCTTCCTAATTGGTTGTTGAGACCCTCTGATGAAATGTAGCCCTGTTTCTTAGCTTTCAGCTGGTTTTAGAATTTCTGGATTTGGACTTGGATAGCCTGATTTATGATGTTTCCGCTAGAATACGTTCTGTGAATCTGTTTTTGTGATTCTGGTGTAGTATCTTGCATTTTTGACCTGGTTACATTCGAAACTGGGTTGAGTGACCTTCTCCAATATTGTATCCCTATCTCTTAGCTTCGAAACGGTGGGTCTTGCACCTTCATCCGATAATCGTACTGTCTTTGGTGCCATTACCGCAAAATGAGGTCGAAAACTGTTTTTTTTTCAGGGTTACAACTAGTTTCATTTCCGGATTTTCTGGTTTTCCCTAATGCTTGTATATGCTTATGGAACCCTATTGGGGTCGTATTTGGCATTGGTTTATGACTCGTTATCGAGTCTCATTGTACTTGTTTGCATGTTTTAGGGCGTGACGGTGGTTCACGACGTTCTTTTGACGGTAGTGCATGAAACACCATTTGCAAGCTTGGTGAGTGTACTAGTCACTTATGTGTTACTATATAGCTTTGATACTTGAACTTGATGAGTTGAATGTTAATTGATTGAAGTGAGAGCGTACTTTATCACTCTCACTTATTGTTTCTCTTGTTATTGGAATGTTACATGAAATGTTACATGAAATGAAAGTACTTGATTTGGTGTCGATTGGACGAGTATCCAACGACTACAATTGTTATCTTTGAGCTCAACCCCATTGGTAGTTGATTGAATCGAGCTGGCGAGGGCTTGGTCGTGCCAATTAATGATCCTTGGGGAAAGTGTTATATGGAATCTTGTAGTAAGAGAGACTCTCGATTCCGGTATACTCGAGTAATACCACAGTGCAAGTGTTTAGAGTTCGGGCCCGGTAGGGGGATGTTAGGTGGATGGAATGGAAGTAAAGTGGAGTCTACGGTTGGTTACTTTTGAACATTGACGGAGAGTCAATGAGATCCGATCAAGAATGCAAACGAGGAAAAGGGCTCTTGAGAGCCACCCGTATCCTTTTATCCTCAATATTGACATGTGCCTTGGCTTACTTTTGATGAATTGAAATGAAAAGCTTTATGCCTATGTGAACTTTGTTGCTTGGGTAGTATTCTCACTGGGCAATTAGCTCACTCTATTCCTTTTATTTTCCTTACAGGAAAATAACTACTTTTGGACTGCAATTGATAATTGGTTGCCGAAATGAGCTAGTTGGACATATCTTTTGTATAGCTCATTTATTGAAATCCTAAATGTACTTTTGGGTCTGTTTCTCTTTTGATTTGGCAAACCATACATGTATCCACTTTTGAATACTTTTGTATGCAACTTTGGATTGTAAATACTAAAGTTCAGGATGTGAATGTTTGCTTGGTTTTTGGTTGGGTTCTGACGGGTCGGTTACTATTCATGGCCGACTCCGGATTTCATTTTTTTATTTTGGGTTATTTTGCCATTTTGACTTGTTTACGTACGTTTGTAAGTTCCGGAACGCAATAGATCGCTCTAACTGCACCGTTAGTCCTGGCGAGAGTTGGGCAGGCAGTCCGCTAACCCCTTTGGTTCGCCTTAGGGGAAGGTGGGGCTGTCACACTATAGATTAGTAGAAATTTGCTAACTTCGTTCACACCCTCTCTCTCTCTCTCTTCAAATCCATGGTGAAGAAGACAGAAACAAAGCTGTTTCCCTCTATTTTCTTTTCCTCTTATACATAACGAGCGAAATTACAATTATGTCCTGGCCATTTCAGTTTTCATGGCGTATCTAGTCTCACTAACAGCGCTTGTTTTGCACGCTCGGAAAACCCTGATGATTCTGTGGATTCCGTCAACGGTTATACTTAATTGGGACGGATTCAGTAGTTTGGGGATTTAAGTGTCCCATTTTGAAATTTAGGGATTAAAGTGGAAAATAAGGTATAGTTTAGGGGGTAAAAAGGGAATTTACCCTTTAAAGAACTCCCAACTCCCTTTCGATATTGATAGACCGTTTTAAACTTGATTTCATGGATGATACAAGTTTCCCTTGTGACTTTAAATCCTCACTTTTGAATCTCGATTTCGAGGGATTAAAGCTCTTTTAAGACATTGTCTTAAGTTTTAAGCAAGTGTACTTTCTTCCTTGAATGATAAGTGGTTGTGAGTATATGTGAGTGATGGTTGATCATCATTTCTTCAGACGCTCAAGAGGATTTTGAAAGGAATCTCAGAACGGACAACTAAAGACTTTATTTGTTCACTTACTTTTGACTTGGTGAGTGTCAAGTGTATGAATTGTTGTATCTACTTGGTTAATCTTGCTTGTATACATGAACATGATTTGATGAGATGAGTGTGTACTTTATCGCACTCGTTCTCCTTTATTTGACTCGTTACTTGCCTTACTTGAACTTGGTTTTGTATTAAACTTGAACTTGAATGTCGATTGGAGTGAACCTCATCGACAAAATTATACTTGTACTCGTGGGAGACGCCCAAACTCATTGGCTAATCTTGCGACTCGAGTCAACATGGACTTAGTTGAGAAGTTTGGCGAACCATGAGAAAACTAGAAAGCTTGATCTTTTCAAATCTTACTTGGCATACTCGAGTAGTATTGATTTTTTATGCGACGTGCGGACCCGGTAGGGGGTGTAACGATGGACGAAATTTGGTGAAAGTGGAATCTACGGATTTGATACTTGCTCGGTTGACGGAGAGTCAACGTGCGATATTTGGATCAAGGCCTTGGCCAAACTGTGTGGAATTAGCTCCTGAGAGCTCCCGTATCCTCATTGGTTGTGCTTTATTGTTATTCGTGAATTACTTGAACTTTCCAGTTATATTTTTGTACAAGTGTTATTGTTACTTGAACTTATGCGTTTGCATGCTTTTCTTGGTCTCACTGAGCGTTAACTCACCCCCGTAGTTTGTTTTCCTTAACAGGGATTCGGATTAGAGATGACTTTTGGAGAAGTTGACTTGATTACCTTTTGATTAGAATTTTGGATGTAAATATTTAGTCAACTTTAGATGCTTGTATTTTTGAGGAAATTTGATGTACCTTTTGGAAACTTGCAATGTAAGACTTGAATGGTTATATAAGGAAGTGACTTTTATTTATATTGACTTTTATTATTGGTTGATTACCTTTAAATTTAAATTTATCTCGCATTGAGTCCTGGCGAGAGTTAGGCAGGCGTTCCGTCGATACCCTTGGTTTCGCCCTAAGGAGAAGTGGGGGCATAACAGTTGGTATCAGAGTCTAGATTTAGAGATTTATTTGAGAGATGTTTTAGAGACTTTACTCTTGAGAATAGGGATGGGAAAACTTAGTTATACCTCAAGTTGATGTTTGAGCAAAGTAGTGACTTTAAGTTTCTAACCTTAAGTTTTGTGGTTGTTTTGTAGGTATGGAAAACGGTAATGGAGATCATGCGACTAATGGTAATGGAGCTGCTAACGGTCATGTGGAGTCTCTTATATCCATCCGATATCGAGTTATGGGTGGAGGACCCCGTGTCCGATATTCGCCTTCCACTAGGTTCCTTTGTTGTCCTTATAAGGAGACACGTGCCTACCCTAATGATCTTGTGCTGTCCATTAATGATGAGCGCCGACAGTTAGTGGTTACTAATAGGGCATTATTTCAGGAGATCAAGGAGCTGAATGCTATGGTGGATGCCCAGGGTGTTAGGATATTGGAGCTCGTGGAGACGGTAATAGATGAGCTGGCTAGGGCGAGACCGCTCGTGACGAGTTTCAGAAGACTAGGGCTCGACTAGTTAGGGTAGTCGAGGAGATCCGGGATCGGGCCGTTGGAATTTTAGCTGACACCACCATATTGATAGAGGAAGTGATAGACGCCGTTGAGAGTCCGGCACATGAGGGCACTCCTGAGGAGGAGCCTTTCGAGGAGGTCCAGACTAGCAGTTCGGATGCGAACTAAGTTAGGATTGTTGAATCTTTTGACTTTTGTAGTTGGGATTAATTGGAGTGATGCTTGTAAAGCTCTTGATTTTTACTGCATGTTTGATTGTACTTTTGTGGCACTTGTGTGCTATGTTTTTGTAAATGCCCCATGACTTACTGATTATATATGAACTTTTAAATATTAATATATGCCAGTTATTGTTATTTCTAATATTTTTCATATTGGCTTTTATTTTTAAGTATTCTCTCACTTAATTATTTTTATTCTTGCATTTAGACATAATTAAGATCTTGAACGACCGAAAAAATGGTAGGGGTCGAGAGCGCGGGGTCAGGCAACCCTAAACTCAAAGGGATGATCAAGGATCGGCTATTGGACCGAGCCAATGGCAAGTAAACGAAGGGGATAACCAAGTAGGTACTGCTATCAACCGTATGATGGATATCTTAGAACGGTTAGCAGAGCGACAGGGTCCAGGACCTGTTAACTAACCCGGGGCTCAGGAGAGAGAGAAAGATAGAGCCTTGAAACGATTTTTGAAATTTGCTCCGCCTAAATTCATTGGGGGACCTAATCCCGAGGTAGAGGAGAATTGGCTGGAACGAATGACCATTATATTCACCGCCTTAAATTATACTGAGGAGAGGCGTATGAACTTTGCTGCTTTTCAATTTGAGAGTGTAGCACGTGCTTGGTGGGATGTGATAAAGGAAAAATGGGAAAGAGTGCAGACCCCTTGGATCTGGAAAAACTTTACAAGGGAGTTTAATAAGAAGTTTCTCCCATCCTTGATTCAAGAGAAATGGGAGGACGAATTCATAAAACTGAGATAGGGGACTTCTAGTGTGGCTGAATATGAGAAAAAATTTACTAAATTTTCTAGGTACGCCCCAGAATTGGTGGCCACTGAAAGGAGAAGGATAAGGCAGTTTGTACAAGAATTTAATGTAGAGATTCAAGAGGGGTTGGTAGCAACCCAAATCTCTACTTTCACTGAAATCCTAGAGAAAGCGCAGAGAGTCGAAAGCGCAAGGTTGCAAGTTAAAGATTTTCAAGCCAAGAAAAGAGGCGCTTCTAGTCACTCTCCTGGACAAGCAAGTAAGGGTACCCTACCTACTAAAATGGAAAGAGGAGCGAGAGGAGTAAGGGCTGCTAGAGCACCAAGAAGGGTTTTATCACGAGGAGGTAGCAATGGGCAAGGCCAAGCGAGAGGAACACCTCCTAGTAGACAGGCCGTGGCTCCTCAAGTTGTTTGTAGCTACTGTGGTAAGCCTAACCATATGAAGAATGAATGTTGGAGGAAATCGAAAAAGTGCTTGTACTGTGGTAGTGCCGAGCACCAACTCTTAAGTTGTCCAAGTGTGCCGAACGAGGGAGGTAGTGCTCAACGGCTAGAGAAGTCGGCCTCTAAGCAGTCTAGTGCTAGAGGGAGTCGACCTAAGGTGCTGACTAGAGTTTACGCTTTGGACCATCAACAGATCCCTGATTCCACTGAAGTGGTTGAAGGTACGATTCCTATGTTCCACCGTTTAGTTAAAGTTTTGATTGACCCTGGTGCAACACATTATTTTGTAAATCCTAATTTCATGAGTGGAATAGACGTGAAACCAATTAAATTACCTTATGATTTGGAGGTTAGAACACCTACTGGAGATCAAAATTTAATTACTAACTTGGTGTATAAGAATTGCGAGATATGGGTTGGAGAGCGAAAACTATTGGCCGATTTAATGAGTTTAGCTATTAAGGGGTATGATGTCATCCTAGGAATGGATTGGTTAACTCATTACCATACTCAGTTGAATTGTTAGATGAAAACGGTAGAGTTGTGTATTTCGAGAGAGGCAACCCTAAAATTAGATGTAAGGGTTAGACTATCCTCATCTGCCCTCATTTCAGGAATTCGAGTTAGAAAGATGTTGAGTAAGAGAGTTCAAGGGTATTTGGCTTTTCTTATAAATACTTCTAGTGATAAGGTGAGGTTAGAAGACATGTTCGTAGTAAAGGAGTATCCGGATATTTTTTCCGAGAAACTAGAGTCCTTGCCACCGGAAAGAGAGATAATCTTTAAAATTGATGTGACTCCAAGAGTAGCACCTATCTCTAAGACGTCCTATAGAATGGCTCCAGTTGAATTGAAAGAGCTGAAATTGCAATTACAGGACCTTCTAGAGTTAGACTTTATAAAGAGATTCCCCGTGGAGAGTTTCGTTGTTGTTTGTTAAAAAGAAAGATGCGAGTTTAAAATTGTGTATAGACTATCGAGACTTGAATGATGTTACCATCAAGAATAAATACCCTTTACCCTACACTGATTAATTGTTTGACTAATTGCAGGGGGCAGTAGTGTTCTCAAAACTGGATTTCAGGCAGAGTTATTATCAACTAAGGATTTTGAAAAAATATATACTTAAAACTGCCTTTAATTCGAGGTATAGGCACATTGAGTCTGCAGTGATGCCGTTTGGATTGACCAATGCTCCTGCAGTTTTTATGGATTTAATGCATCGAATCTTTAAGCCTTATTTGGATCAGTTTATAGTGGTGTTCACTGACGATATACTGGTGTATTCTAAGACCTTGGAGGATCACAAGAAACATTTGAGAATTGTCTTGCAAATCTTAAGGGAACATCAGTTGTATGCGAAATTTAGTACATGTGAATTTTGGTTGAAGGAAATGACTTTCTTAGGTCATTTAATCTCCAAAGAAGGAATTAAGGTAGATCCGACCAAAATTGAAGCAGTTTCTAAGTGGAAGCAACCAGAAAATTCTACTGAAGTTCGAAATTTCTTAGAGTTAGCAGGGTATTACCGGAGGTTTATCAAAGATTTTTCTAAGATTGCGGGACCCATGACTGAATTGACTAAGAAAAGTAAAAAGTTTATATGGAGCTCTAAGTGTGAGAAAAGTTTCCAGGATTTAAAGAAACGTTTGACAAGGGCACCTGTATTAATTTTACTTATATGGGGTGACGTTTGAAGTTTTTACCGACCACAAGAGTTTTAAATACTTGTTTTTTCAAAAATAGTTAAATTTGAGACAACATAGATGGGTCGAGTTTTTAGAGGATTATGATTGTACGATCAATTACCACCCAGGGAAAATTAATGTGGTAGCCGATACTTTAAGTCATCAAGTGCGAGTAGCAGGATTGATGATCAAAGAATTGCACTTGTTGGAAGAGGTTAGTAATTGGAACCCTCGTCTTGAACCAAGAAAGGTAATCCTTCGGAACATGATCATGAAATCCACTCTGTTGGATTGTATCAAGGAGGCACAAGAGAAGGATTCAAAAGTACAAAAGTGGTTGGAGAAAGTTAGAAAGGGAGAAAAGTCGGATTTTAATTTGGGAGTAAGTGGTGTACTAAGGTTTCGAAATTGCACAGTAGTGCCAAAGGATGAAGGGCTAAAAAGGAAAATTTTAGAAGAAACGCACCGTTCTAAGTATACGGTACATCTTGGATGGAATTAAATGTACCAAAACTTGAAGAGCTTGTATTGGTGGGAGAACATGAAGAGAAAAATTACTCGGTTTGTACAGACTTATTTAATTTGCCAGCAGGTTAAAGCCGAACATCAGAAATCATCTGGTCTATTGCAACCTTTGGAGATACCCGAATGGAAATGAGAGAATATCACCATGGATTTTGCATCTGGATTGCCAAGAACACAAAGAGGTCACGACGCCGTTTGGGTGATAGTAGATAGGTTGACCAAATCTGTTTATTTTCTACCGATTAGTATGAAGTACTCCCTAAAGAAGCTAGCAAAGCTATATTTGGATGAGATTATAAGACTACATGGGATACCAGTAAGTATTGTATCTGATCGAGACCCTCGATTTGTTTCTCGATTCTGGCAGAAGATGCAAGAAATACTAGGAACTAAATTGAATTTTAGCACTACCTACCACCCCCAGACTGATGGACAATCTGAGAGGACAATCCAGACCCTTGAGGACATGTTGAGATCATGTATTTTGGATTTTAGAGAGAGTTGGAGTAAGTACTTGACACTGGTGGAATTTGCTTACAATAATAGCTTCCATTCATCCGTTCAAATGGCTCCATACGAAGCTTTTTATGGTCGAAAATATAGATCTCCTATTTGTTGGAATGAAATAAGTGAAAGAAAGATTTTAGACCCAACTGTAGTACCGTGGATTAATGAGGCGTACGAAAAGGCGAAGTTAATACGCCAACAAATTCAGACACCTCAGAGCCGTCAAAAGAGCTATGCAGATAACTGGAAGAAGGATTTGGAGTTTGCAGTTGGAGATCAAGTCTTCCTTAAGATCACTCCACTAAAAGCAAGTTTGATAACAGGAACAGGAAAGAAGTTGCAACCTAGATTTATAGGACCTTATAAGATTCTCCAACGTGTGGAAAACGTGGCCTCTAAGTTGGAACTGCCACCAAGTTTGTCTCGAATTCATAATATTTTCCATGTGTCTATGCTCAAGAAGTATCATCCAGATCCCTCCCATGTACTGCAACCGAAAAATATCGATATCGACAAGGCTCTGACCTATGCGGAGAAACCAGTGAAACTTCTGGATCGTAAAGTGAAGGAACTAAGGAATAAGTGATCCCTTTGGTAAAAGTTCTGTGGAGGAATCACGGAATAGAGGAAGCAACTTGAGAAGTAGATGAGGAGATTCGAAAGAAATATTCAGACCTATTTCCAAACCAAGGTATGAATTTCGTGGACAAAATTCTTTTAAGGGAGAGAGGATGTGAAGACTCATGTTTTTATTCTTAATTTAGCCATTTTTATAATTATTTGCTCTAGTGTTATTTAATTATACTAGTATTGCATGAATTTCCTCTTGAATTTCGGTTTATCGCGTTCGTGTCGAAAGTTTCTCGAAAGTCGCGCCGGTACGACTAATTGGAGATTTGAAGATTTAATACTAGACTCATAAGTATGAGTAATTACAGTGTTAGAGGAATTACTTTGGAGGATTAGTGTATAAGTGTAACAAATAAAAGAGGAAGTGGTAGTACACAATACTATTTCGTTACTATTGAGAGTTGATCTTGTGTACCAACTTAAAGTTACTTTTCCCCAATCTTCCTCCATAAGATTCACCACTCAAAAACTTCCTCACTCTCCTCAACCTCTCGGCCGAGCCTAAGGAAGAAAAGGGGAAGAGAAAGCTCCATTCTTTTAGCTTCAACCTTGCTTGCAAATCCTCAACCAAACCACACAACTCTTGGAGTTTCACTCTAGCTTGAAGAAAGGTGCATCTTTGTGGAGTTTTTTGGTGAAATATTGGATGAAACTCTCACTTACAACTAGGGTTAAAAGTTTGGAGAGGTAACCATTTCCTTCTCCTTTAACCTTTCAAATTTTGCTAAGATTAGAGCTTGGATTTCATGGGTTTGAAACCCTAGTCAAGTTTCTAGCCTAGTGGACTTGAGAAAGCTTTTATCTTGCTTTATATTCTAGGCTAACGGTCTTGAGGTGACCTATGAGGTAGCTGACTTGAGGATATTGCTTGATATTTGTTATTTATGTGTATTATAGCTTAATATTGGTTGGATAGTGGAGAGAAATTTGGAAGAAACCGTGAGAGTGAGCTGGCCGAAATTTCTGTTTTGTTGTCCTGCTTTGAACTCAAATTTTTGTGGCTTATTTGGTTGCTAAACTGATTGATATATGTTTTATTATGTGTGTGGAAGTTGGCTTTCAAAAATCATCTCAAATGGTTATATAAAACTTGAGTTTTGGAAAAAGTTTGAAATCTAGAAAATGGTTACCAGGGTAGCCGGAAAGGGGTACTTTGTCTGAACATAACTCTTTGTACAAAAATCAAAATTGAGTACTGTTTGCGGCATTTCAAACTAGACATTCATAGATTTCAAACGGTATAAGAATCCCCTGCTAGTTCATTTTGAGTAAACTGTAATGAATCGGCACATGGGACTGACCTGTTTTGCCTGTCTGCCCGAGAGCAACTGGAAAGCTGCATCTTGTGGCTCGATTTTGTCTCACTTGTGAAAAGACTTTGAAAATGATGTCTTCTGATGAATTGTAGTATTGTGAATCTAGTTTCTAATGCCATAAATCATTCTCAATTTGGACTTGTGTAGAGTTAGATATGGTCTGATTTCAAAACTGTGTTGAAGCTTAGTGACTGGAAATCCCTGAACAGGTTGCGAAAATCAGCCAACTTCAAACTAATATATCTTGTTGCTCAAAATTCCGAATTTAGTTCCACTTATTGTGCTTGAAACTTGATTTGGAACTCTTGTTGTGTTATAAATTTCAGAGGCTGATTCACTTTCTCTGAATTTTGCCGAATTTTCAAACATTGCTAAAAAACCAAGACTGGTTCTGTCCTGTCTTCATGAAACAACAAATTTGAACGGTTTTTGGTTAGAATCTTGGAAAAGTGTCTTCAGAGAATTTTTAGTACTTTGAATCTATTTTCCAACAGTATAAAGTTTTCCATTTTTGGACTTACCAAACTCAAGATCTAATTTTCCAAGTATGATCGCGCAAAGCTGAAAATTTCTGATTCCTTAAGAGATGAACTTTTAAAGAACTCCCAATTCCCTTTCGATATTGATAGACCGTTTTAAACTTGATTTCATGGATGATACAAGTTTCCCTTGTAACTTTAAATCCTCACTTTTGAATCTCGATTTCGAAGGATTAAAGCTCTTTTAAGACATTGTCTTAAGTTTTAAGCAAGTGTACTTTCTTCCTTGAATGATAAGTGGTTGTGAGTATATGTGAGTGATGGTTGATCACCATTTCTTCAGGCGCTCAAGAGGATTTTGAAGGGAATCTCGGAGCGGAC